AGTGGGGTGCTACGGGCCGACGTGTAAGAGAAGAGTGTGAAGAGCGGAGCTCGGGGACCAGATAGACTCGATGGACAGTGCGAGAGAATGTGTGTGTTGTTGTAGAGAGAGACTCGAGTGTGTTATTGTAGAGAGATGACTGTATGTGCAGACCACTGTAACTGATTTAATTTGACGTGAATAAATCAGGGTTGACAATCCAAGGTCGCAAACCCGACCCACGTTACAATATGTTAACTAAAAATAATTCACTACATTGACATCGTCAGCCATCCAAACAGAGGCCAGGCACCTTACTCAAGCTAAGGTCTCTTGCCCCAAACACCTCTGATGTCACTGGCATCATTCACAAAGGCCAAATTGCTGTGAATGTGTCAGAATGGCTGACTTGGCACACTTGTCCTCATTTGTTTTTGTTTGCCAAGCCGACTTGTTTGTTGTTTATGAGATTCTGTTCTCAGGATAAAGAGATGCAAGGATTGCAAGAGGTTATTAAGTATATGATGCAAGTTGTAATACAAAATCATTGTTACTTTAGTTAGATATGAGTGAACTTTTATTTTAGATTCTCCTTTCACTCATATCTGTACCGTAGATTGAACCCAGTTAATGGTTAACTATATTGTTTGAAAGATTTTTATCAGAAGATTCATTATAATGCATAAAATTATGTGTCACCATTATAACTACATAGGTGTATCTATGCTTTTTGATTCTTTAGATACCAATAAATAAATTGGTTAATTTCTCTTTTTTCTCTCCCCATCAGACTAAGCAATTTGATTCGGGTTTTCTAACAGTGAATCTGGTTGGGTGAAGCAAACTTGAAATTGCACATCCTGTTATGGAATGTGAATATGTGGTTTGAATATGTAACTCTTTTGCATTGATGCATGCTGTCAGTCAACAGTTTGTTTGCTATGTAGAAATTTACAATCTTGGCAAGTGAATTAACCTATTTGTCACAGGTAGCCAGGAAATATAATGCTATCCCACTGAGAAAATAAACCTGTTCTAAAAAGAACATAACTTTCTTAATGCACTATTTATTGAGCTTACTTATCTTGTTTTCAGTATCATTCTTCTTTCTAATAATGTTTGTCCTAATATTTTTTTCTATTTGTTTGCTAGAGTCCTCCGAACTTGTTACATGATGGTGAGCGACCGTATTCCTGTGATGTATGTAAGAAATCATTCATTCAGCAGGCAAATCATTCAATCAACAGAGTAATCTGGAGGCACATCAGCGTGAGCGTACACACAGTGGAGAAAGGCCATAATCTTGTGATGTATGTAACAAATCATTCATTGATCAGAGTAATCTGAAGAGACATCAGCGTACACACAGTGGAGAAAGGCCATTTTCCTGTGATGTATGTAACAAACCATTCACTCAGCAGAGTCATCTGAAGACACATCAGTGGAGAAAGGCCATTTTTCTGTGATGTATGTAACAAATCATTCATTGATCAGAGTCATCTGAAGACACATCTGCATACGCACAGTGGAGAAAGGCCATATTCTTGTGATGTATGTAACATATCATTCACTCAGCTGAGTAGTCTGAAGGCACATCAGCGTATGCACAGTGGAGAAAGTCCATTTTGCTGTGATGTACGTCACATATCATTCACTCAGCAGAGTAGTCTGAAGGCACATCAGCGTACGCACAGTGGAGAAAGGCCATATTTCTGTGATGTATGTAACAAATCATTCACTCGGCAGAGTAGTCTGAAGGCACATCAGCGTACGCACAGTGGAGAAAGGCCATTTTCTTGTGATGAATGTAACAAATCATTCGTTTGTCAGAGTAATCTGAAGCAACATCTACTCATTCACAGTGGGGAGCGGCCATATTTCTGTGATATCTGTAAAAATCGTTGGTTCGTAAGGATTCTTTGAAGAAACATCTACTTATACATGGTAGATAGCAGCCACATTTATGTGATTATATAATAAATGATTCCTTTACCAGCGTAATCTCGTTATTGACTACTCTGTATTTCAGTGACATTAAATCTATTCGTTAATAGGATAATCCAATGCATATGCTGGGTGTGCATATTCTTGTGATATATTATTATTATTTATTATTATTAACTGCAAATGGGTTTTTACCTGGTGGCAGTTGTCCTACAGTAAGACAACAGAACAATGAGACAGAACAAAACAATAAGACATAACAAAACAACACACATCACACAAAATAAAACAACTCATAAGATTACAAAACCATAAGGCACAACTACTTAAACACAACAGATAACCTAAAGTAGATAACTTAAAAATTAATACCAAATGGACACAAGGCAGTAACAGTAATGAATTACATATCTCATGAACTGATGCTCTTACATTTCATCAGGAACTTCACTTCACCACACTACACTTATGAAGCCTTTCCATCCTCACCCTGATTTACCTCACTTCACTGCACCCACCCATGTATTCCCTTCACTTCACCTCATATATCACTTTTCTAACCTTCCTAAAAGTACTTGGTTTACAGGAGAGCGTCCCTAAAACATCCGCAGGTAGCTGGTTCCAGAGTTGGATGGTCCTATTTACAAAGGAATATTTTCCTATATCTGTCCTTTAATTTCTGCTCCTAATTTTCCGAATATGATCGACCCTGCTCAGATAGTATGGCCTTTGCAATCTGTCACCTATAGCCTTCCATGCCCGTTCTCCCGTCTACGCTTTGAAGAGAGCACATATACGTGCTATCTTTCTACACTGTGCCAGGGTTTCCCAGTTTGAATCGCTCCTATGATGTGCAAATTTACATGCTTTCTTTTGCACCCGTTCTAACGCATTTATCTGTCCCTCCCTGTAAGGATCCCAGCACGCCGCCCCATATTCCAGAATCGGACGCTTTAGTGATGTGTAGGTTAGACTTTTAGTGTTACTATTTCCCTTTTTGAGAACACGCATTGTAAAATGAAGTGCCTTTAGGCTTTCTTCACCGTATAATTTACTTATCAGCCCAGCTTAAATCGCTGATTAAGAGTATTCCCAAGTATTTACAACTGCTTACTTCCGGAATTACTTGGTCCCGTATCGAATAGTTTAGTGGTTCCTTCACCTGACTTCTCGTGAAACTAACTGCCTTACTTTTACTTGGGTTAATTTTCATAGCATTTTCACCCGCCCACTCCCCCAGTCTGTTCAGATCCATCTTCATCTTTTCTTAATATTTATAATTTTCCTATATATTATACAGTCATCTGCAAAAAGTCTAATAGTCGATTCAATGTTCCTCCAAATATTTACGTACGCGAGGAACAGAAGCGGACCCAATACACTCCCTTGCGGTACACTTGACGTTACTCTGACCTCTGATAATTGCCCTCCTACTCGAACTCTCTGCATTCGGCCTAAAAGAAATTCCCTTACCCATACGACTAATCTCGAGTCCACACCCGAGGCCGCAATTTTTGTAAGCAGCCGATCAGGAGGAACTAATTCGAAGGCCTTTGAAAAGTCGATTATAATCGCGTCCAACCTTCCTCCGTTATCCAGTGTGTCTGCAATGTCCTGGCAAACCGTGATTACTTGACTTTCACATGAATATCCCGGCCTGAACCCATGTTGACCCTCGAATAACCAATCCTTTTCCTCCCAGATTTTCCTCAGGTACGATGCTATAACGTGTTCCATTTGTTTGCAGACCACCGATGTTAAACTGAGCGGTCTGTAATTTGCGACCAATGATCGGTCACCTCCTTTATAAATAGGAACCACTATAGCTTTTTATCCAGTCCCTGCATCATTTATTAGCATGAAATATTATACTGGGTACATTTATTCACTTCAATGTAAAAACTACTGATGTGTCTTGTGGAAATGTATGTGAATCAATTAGGAACCTAATAAATCAGAACGAAATTATAGATTTAGTTATTGGGTTTAAAAGCATGAGCGTTATAAGTCTACGTTGTGACAGGAATTGGACACAGAGTGAGATAAAAATTATGATTTCCATCCCAGGTACCTTCTTTAACAAGCCGGATGAGCCAACCTCAGAGGCAAATACGAGGCGCGTCCTCAAAGTAAGTTTCCCACTCGTCCCACAGTTAGCAAACCTTATATTGCGCGAAGCGATTGTGCGTACGTGATAGAGCAATGACGTAGCATGGCGCATGCACTAACGGAAATTCCCGCGTTCTCACATTAGCATCGTTGCAGCTGTTGAAGATGGAGGTTCTTATTCCAGTTCCCGCCGACTGTGAAGTGCGGTCAGTGATAACGCTAGGCCGCACACGGCTCGACGGACAGCAAGTCTCCTGCAGGAGTTCAGCTGGGAGGTGTTTAATCATTCACCCTACAGCCCGGACCTCGCTCCCAGTGATTTCCATCTTTTCCTACACCTCAAGAAATTCCTGTCCGGTCAGCGTCAGCGTCAGCGTTTTGAGAATGAAAGAGAGGCGGAGATGGTTGTCACACAGTGGTTCCAATCCCAGGCGGCAGACTTCTACGACACAGGTATTCAAAAGTTGGTCCCACGGTATGACAAATGTCTCAAATCCGGTGGCGAATATGTTGAAAAATAGCTAGACACTTGCTGTATCTGTTGCAATAAATATTTACATGAAATTGTGTTTTGTTTCTGTAAACGGCCCCAGGGAAACTTACTTTAAGGACGAGCCTCGTACTTCAGAGTTCCTGTCAGAATAATACAGGCCTACTAACCTTTCCAGTTTGAGTTTTGAGCACAACAGCATGTCCATCCACACTACTAGAGATAAGCAAGTTGTTATCAGGATGGCAGTCCATGTCAGTAATTGTACCAGTGTGAGCTTGTCCTTGAGGTACGTGGTGTAATACTGTCGCAGTCTTTGTGTCAAATATTTTAAGTGAGCCATCTGCATAACCTATCGCCATACGTTTGCCTGGAAATTAAAAAAATTTACATCTTAATTTCATTCTCTCTACTTCGTATTTCATGACGTAAATGGCAAGGTAAAAAAATTCCACCTGGGATATTATCAGAACGTTTACAGTACCTGCTGCACTTATTTCTCAAATAATTACTCAAATAATGACCATACAAAATTTCATTCAAATCCGTCCCATGGTTTTTGAGTTGAACCACGCGGATGACAGACAGACATGATCAGCCCATCATGCAAAGGACACATAAAAAGCAACTTATAATGATAATGGCTGGCATACTTGTACATTCTGCATGAAGTGCCCTTCCAAATTATGGGGATCTATTTCCTTTATATTATACACAAAATCCTTTCATTTCTTCAGTTTTCACAGTTTCTATGCAAGGAACATACAAAAAAATAAAAAGAGGACATAAAAATCCACGTACTGCCTGACAGCAAAGTCATAATTTTATTATAAATTGCATACCATCAGGCAACATGAGTCCACAGTCTGCTTTGTCACCATGGCCAGGCAACACTTTGCATTCTCCTCCTGGAATTCTCCACACGTATACCTCCCCCGACTCAGTTCCAGCTAGCAAGACATTTGCTCCGTGATGCCACCTCAGCCACTGCAAACAGTGCATGACTGCAAGACAGAGTCTTATTTAAACGTTGCAGCCAAGTGGTTAGTACTCCTGCTTCATATTCAGGAGGTCCCAGGTTCAAACATCAGCCTGGAGATGACTATCCAGGACTGAGGTTTCCCAGTCCCTCCATGAAACTGGCGGAAAAGTACCTTAATTTAAGCTACGACCTTTCCAATTCATTTATCATACATTATTTGATGCTATATAGTCAGGAGACAATCCAAGAAGAATTAACATTTCACAATGAGACCAGGAAAATAATTAAATAAGGATTTTACAGTAAATAAATGTAATGTTAATTACCACAAGCTTATTACATTATTAAGTAAATCCACTAACATTTATTTATTTTAATTATGTATATGGATCATTTAATGATGCTGTCAGTAGCTCAAACCACATAACAACAAATGACAGAATGATTAATAAATAATACATTGCAAAGGATTTGGAAATAAGTGGTTATGGCTGCATTTAAGGTTCAATCCCAGTATTTGGCTGAAGGGATAAAGATAAACCGTGAAAAACCTCAGACACAGTAACATGTTTCCAGATTGTTGTTTTTACCTGGAACTTCCTGAACAAGAAGCATGACTGCTAACCACGTGGCTGTGATGTTCAGTACTTATAGTTGGAGTACATAAACACCACAATTTCACTGCACAACACCCATTTCTATTCAATTTTACAACATCCAGTGCCACTACTGTGGTTCTGCAATATGTTGCTTCATTTGTTTGATTTTCTATACACAAATACAACTCATAATGTAAACGTAGTATTACTTACAGTCAGGTCGCCAATACATGTTTCCCATACTTGTAACTTGTTAGCTATTTTCCATACTTGTATGACACCACTCATGTCTCCAGTTGCAACGTAAGACCCATCATAGTTGAATCTAACACAGGTCACAGAGTCCTGTACACGACACAGTGAAATATCGTATCAGAGAAAATCTTCCTGACTACTCTCACGCAATATCTGATCATATACAACACTGCATTCTTCAAAGAGTCATACTTTCCCCATTATTTTTTACACAAAAACTGACACTCATCAAAGGCAAATTTCAAAATGTAAGGAAAAAGTAATAAAGTATTACTTAATAATCCTTCAGTGCACCATAGAAATTCACTCTATCTTGACATTATCAGACTAGTTAATTTGAATACTCTTTCTTACATAAATGTTAAGGTTATATATAGGACAGTTAGCTCATGAATCAACACAACCACAGTCTAATTCACATACGAAATCAAAAATTAGATTATCATCATGGTTCTATTGCTGAAATGGGCAGGAAGATTTCCTATACATCAGATGTAATGGTTGTAACACCACAACTTCATTGCCACAATAACAAGGTGAACCATGCGTAAGTCAGGTAGACATTAGGCAGAAGAAGCTGTATTTTGCACATCCTATCTATGCACTCTAAGGCTTTTGAGGCAAAAAGGTTAATATTTATCTATTCTTCATCTATTCAAAGACATTTTCAATTGCTAAGCTTATATAGCATCAAATTATGATTAGTGAATAATTAACTGTAGAGGATGTGAAAGGAACTGGTAATGGTCTAATTTAATGTTATGTCCTGGAATTTACCTGGAGAGACTAAGGAAAACCAAGGAAAACCTTAGTCAGGTCAGTCAGTCTCCAGACTAAGATATGAACCTTGAGCACAAGCTGAAACCAATCACCAACAATATTCAGTTACTTTATACAAGTAAACTGATATTGAAATTCTACTGTCATTCTGTTTACTCATTATTATACTGAATGAATTACAAATATAATGCCCACCTTGTGGCCCTTGCATTGTAACACTACTTCTCCTGAATGTGTTTCCCAAACATATGCCATATCATCCTCTGCTCCAGTCACAGCCAATCTGCCAGCCTTTGGCTGTAAATGGCAGCAAAACACAGAACCTATGTAAGAAACATTTGCTTCAATAATATATACTCGGAATAAGGCAAAGAAATAGATTTATCACAACATTCCACTTCAAGATAATGCACATACAGATTTTACATAAACTCAGGCATGTGGTTTCCATTACAAGATATGTGCAACCAAACATTTCCTGCTGTGGGAAACAACTACATTTGTAATCTGTGTTGACAAACTTAAAAAAGAAAGTACCTTGTCACATGTAAGAAACAAACAGGTCTGGGACAGAATATAATAAGTATTCAACATGCACATTGTATTTCAGTTTTAACTGCTGTCATTATCATTATTATGTTGAAAATCAACATGCTGCTTTTAGAAATATTGCTACTAGATGCAAATTTCAATTTGAGAAGGTGATAAGCACAGTATACTGGCTAGGTCACACCTCTCTCCTCATTCCATCACTAAATATCCAGCAGATATTTTGGACATCAATGTCTTCACATCCACCTGGCACAGTTTAACCTTTATGATAAGAAAGTACCAACCTTTATGATGAGAAAATACAGATGCTGAATCATCCCTCACAGGGTTATTTCCTTCAGAATTTTCACTGCCTTCTAAGCCTATGCCAATATCTTCATCACTTGCATCATTTGCTTCTATGTAATTATTGCTACTTGCAGCTTCACCATCAATAACCTCCTCAACTTCATCTTCAAACAGTTCATTATAATCCATTGTTTCATTGCTACATGGAGATGTTGGTGGTGTGTCTTTCAACTGCATCAGTCACAAACTAAAACTAAAATACTTTACATAAACACATATTCATTAAAGAAAGCTTTAGGTTTGTGCAATGGCACTCATCTACGTTATAAATTGATATAAAATCAATATGCTCATAGAATAGAACAGAATATATTTACATTGCATAGATCCTTCATAGTTCAAGCCAAGGATGTTGAACATAATACAAATACAATAATTAATCGCAGTGCAAATACCATCACTACACAGCTGTTAATTCTATTTACATATATATTTACGGAATTTACGAATTTCCAATTGATAAATTCTTCTGTGTAAGAAATAAATATTAAACCCATCAGAGCTTAACGACTTATGTCTTATTATTAACTTATCAAAACATTAGAAACAAACGTAACATCCCAACTATCTTACTTTTAAAAGAAACAGCTATAAACCATTATCTAAACAATAACTCTCATATAGTCATCAGCGTTAGTAGTAACAGCGACAACAGTCAGGTTGATAACCAATGGCTTTGACAAACTGATTTTCTATAACACTTACATTATTTAATTTCATAAAAAATGTATCCACCAAACAATCACAAATTCCTTCAAATCATATAATTATAATAAATACACGAACTATTATAAACACACGATCAGTACCATCTACCATCACAAAAACAGGAAACCAACCTGCGTTAAAACATTTCCACGAAAGACTTCCAGGTTGTGACTCCATGAGGACTTGTAGTTTGGCAACCGTGGTTGGCGAGTCCAAACAGCGTCACAACCCAAAAGACCACCGTGGACTTGAAGGGCTTCACGGCGGTGCTGGGTTGTAGCACCGTGGAGTCTGATAGCTTACCAATGTGTCAGCACTATTTGCTGTCCCCCATCATCATGCAGGCAGCAAGTATATCTAAAGCGTTGGTAAAGGTCTATAACACTACACTATAACCCACAAGACACCGTGGACATTTTCACCGCAGCAAAATTTTTAAATTGCAACCGAAAATTATTATTCCAATGACATACGTATATGTACATACTTGCTAACAACAAATTGCTGGAGGAGCAAACATGTAACGTTATTTACAATTTCTTAGATGAATTAGTTGTTTCTCTCTACAATTTTCACAACATTCTTCATGTGGTACAGACTTAAAATAAATATCATCCTTCCTTTCAAATTCAGTTACAATATTCTGAGCACTAAAATATACAAAACAACAATTGTGCCCGTTGTTTTGTGTGGGTGTGAAACATGGTCTTGCAGTCTGAGTGAGGAACATAGATTGCAGGTGTTTGAGAATATTTGGGCCAAGGTGAGAATAGGATGGGGTATGGAGAAAACTGCATGATGAGCTAAAAAATTTGTACTCCTCCACTATTGTCAGGGTGATTAAGTCAAGAAAAATGAGATGGGCTAGGCATGTGGCACGCATGGATGGCCAAGAGGTGTGCAC